GGGAGATATTCTGGATTGTCGGGGCGCAACAATTACATTGATTCGCGGCGTTCAAGTCCCAGGAATAATGTTCTTGCACGGTTCAAGATCGTCAAGACGCAAACAGTCAGTTTGACCCATGGCGTTGAAGTCCTACACGCTTCAGGATTTTCACACGGTTGCCCCCCAAGGGGGCACTTCCCTCAGTGGAAATGGACCCTTGTCTGGGGCATATGAAGAGGGAACTTGGAAAGAGGGTGTATTCCAACATCGTTGATGAGTCTTGGGTCTACACTGCTCCTCCTCCTCCTCCTCCTCGTCCTCATTCCCGTCCTCCCCTGGTTCCTCCTCCCCGTCATCCTCGTCCTCCTCCTACTCTTTTCTCTTTCCTTGTGCAACTCCTCCCTGCCGCACCCCGAAGCCGGATGAAGCTGGTCGAACGAGCGGGTCGGGCGCTTCGCCTGAACTTGCAACATCGACAGCAACTTCACAGAAGGAGGGCGAGTCGCTTCCAAAATGTGGCTCTCGCCTTAGCGCTGCGCAAATTCGTGTTCAAAATCGGCAGGAGCTTCACATATTGATGGCGGTTGGTTTTCAAAATGCGGCTTTCGCCTTAGCGCCGCGCACATCCGTTTTCAAAATCGGCAAAAGCGATTGAAGGCAGTTCGCTTTCAACATGTGGTTCTTCCCTTAGCGCCGCGCACACTCGTCTTAAACAGTTGCAAGAGTTCCATGAATTGAGGGCGGTTAGTTTTCAGCATGTGGCTCTCGCATTAGCGCCGCGCACATTCGTCTGAAACGTTTCAAGAGTTTCGCGGATTCCAGTGGTCAACGTACCAGACATGATGTTCTGGAACGACTCACGATAGTGAGAGTGCAACAGTCCCAGGAATTGCGTTCTGGCGCGATTCAGGATCCAACAGCCACGTTGATCTGTGGCGTTGGAGTCCCACGAATGGTGTATTGGCACGCTTCAAGGTCTTCAAGCGGCTGTCTCCCAACGAGGCTGTTCCCTCAGTGGAAATGAACCCTTGTATGGGGCCTATGACGAGGGAGCTTGGAGAGAGGGTTTATTTCAATATCGTTGATGAGTCTTGAGTTTGCACTGTTCCTCCTCCTCCTCCTCGTCTGCTCCTCGCCCCCCTCGTCGTCGTCCTTCTCCTCCATATCGCTGGGCTGGGGTATTTCCGCCGTCGTCGTCGTCCTCCTCCTCCTCCGCCTCCTCCTCCGCGTCCGCAAGATTCCCCCAACACGGACAAGATGGCCCAGCAGGCCCCCAAGCTGGCCTCAGAATGGCTGCAAAACGCGCCAAGAGTCTCCCAAGAAGGCCCATGAGGCCCTAAAGAGGATTCTCCAGAGACTCCCGAGAGGCATGAGCCATTGATCTCCTGAAAGTTGCTGTGCGATTTTGGCGTACTCGGTAGGCAGATCCTCCGACATGGCCCAGAAGGCATCCACGATCGCAATACGACCGCCCAAAAGACCCCAAGGGCCCCCGAAGGAGCCCAAGACCGCCCCAGATGGGGCCCAAGACAAGCTGACAGAGGCCCAAGGCGCCCCAGGAGTGCTCCCAGAGGGGCTCCAGACAGCCCGACAGGACCCCGAGACAACCGAGCGGGGCCCCCGGACCGCCCCACGACACCTCGCAGGGACCACATGAAGGCCCACACGGCCACCAAGACGGCCCCAAGAAGGCCCGCAAGCCGGCCTGAAAACGGCCCCAAAAGACCCCTCATGGCTGCCCGCGCGAAACTCTCGATTCGTCTGGAAGTCTCTGCCAGACCGAGGCAACGGGCCCAAATCGGCCAGGAGGGCGGCCGAATGGCCCCGCGAGAGCCCAAGGGGCTCCAGGCACCCACCAGACGCCTGAAGACGACCCAAAGGAGACCACCTCCAATAGGCCATCGAAGCGCAGAAACACATAAATTTCCAATCACTTTGTTTGTATGATTTTGGGAATGCTCTGTTCTTCGGTCTTCCGGGCGTCCGAGACCGCCCAGGAGGCCCCAAAGTCGCCCCCAAAGTACCCGAAAGGGCTTCCAGGCAGTCCAAGAGAGGCCCAAGTCGGCCCAACAGGGCTCCAAGATGGCCCAAATGGAACCACATGACGTCCCAAGAAGGCCCCCAAATGCCCCCCCGACGCAATCCAACTCGTGACCGGGTCGTTCAGGGAGACAACGGTTGGAAGCAGGGTGGCCCGAGGAACCCCCCAGAGGCCCACACAAGGCCACACAAGGAACACAGGAGGACTCCAGAAGGTACCAAGAAGCCCTCAAAAACTTGAGTGAGGTCCCCAATTCTCCTCGGAGGAGCCTCCGCAAAAAGAGCTGGGGAGGATTGGGAATAATTCGCAGGGTTGGGCGAGAATGAGGAAGAGGAAACGTGATATAATAGTACGGATAACAATTGACGACGACGTCGAAAAGGCAACAAGGAATCATCACTAAATGTTATGTTTCACTGCCAAACTTCCAGGTCCAAGATGCATGGCGTGACGCGCTAATGTAATCTTGCATCTTTCCATACAACTATCTGTGTATGTTCACATTCTCTCTTTACATATGTGTGTATATATATGTCGGTATATATGTGTATATATATATGTTGTATGAATCCAGACCCTGCGGAAAACGTGCCTCCCCCTCCCAAAACAGGACCCCCTCGATCCGCGGCAGAGGGTCCACCGTGACTTCTCGGCCTCCTGGATCATCCTGGCTGTCCCTGCCAGGCCTACCCAGCGGGTCCAACACGGTCAGGAGGGTGATCAAACGGCCTCGCGAGAGCTCTAAGCGGCCCCAGACATCCACCACACGCCGTAAGACGGCATGGATTTCCGTATTTTTGTTTGTGCGATGTTTGGATACTCGGTTCTTCGGTCTTCGGGGCGTCCGAAAACGCGGGCCCCGAAACTGATCCCCAAACGATCCCAGAGGGCTTGCAGACAATCCAAGAGGGCCCGAAGGCGGCCCAAGTGGGCACAAAGATGGCCCGAAGAGAGCCCCATGACGGCCCCAGATGGCCCCAAGACGCCCCCGAATAACTCCAAATCGTGACCAGGTCGTTGAAGGAAATAGCGGTTCCCAGCAAGGTGGCCCGAGGGAGCCCCCAGAGGCCCCCCAAAGGCGCCCAGAAGGATCTTAGAAGGTTTAAAAAAGGCCCTCCATGAGTTTCGTCAGGCCCCAAAACACTTTCCAGAGAGGAACCTCCGCAAACAAAAAATACCCTGGCGAAGAACCCCACCCATTCTACACGCGTGTATCAACAAGACCACTTGCTGCGCAAGATCTCGTTGGGGGGGTTCGCAATTCCGCTGAAAACTTTGCCAGATAAAATCGGACCCAGCTCAGCACGCAGTCACGCGACTCAATTCACACGCGGAGGTTAGCAGTGCATGCGGCGCGGAACAAAAGGGCGGGGACTGTGGGAGCAGGAGGAGGGATCATGGGCAACCTCACCTCTGAGCCAAACCGCGTCGCGGATCATGCGCCATGCTCGTAGGGGGTGCGCCAGGAGGGACCCGAGTCACCATGCGGACGCAGCCACTGGGGCCTTCGGTGGAGCTCCCTGTGGGGCCACAAAACGTGCGAGGGTTATGCCAAAAAGGACCCGAACCACCATGCGGATGCAACCACTGGGGCCTTCTGGGGAACTCCCCACGGAACCACGAAACGTGTGAGGGGTGTGCTGGAAGGGACCCGAGTCACCACGCGGACGCAGCCACTGGGGCCTTCGGTGGGGCTTTGTATGGGGCCACGAACCGTGTGAAGGGGCCCGAGTCACCATGCGGACGCAACCACTGGGGCCTTCGGCGGGGCTCCCCACGGAACCACGAAACGTGTGAGGGGTGTGCTGGAAGGGACCCGAATCGCCATGCGGACTCAGCCACTGGGGCCTTCGGTGGAGCTCCCCATGGGGCCACGCAACGTGTGAGGGGTGCGCCGAAACGGTGATGAGAATGATGATGGTGGTGGCGATGGTGGTGGCGATGGTGATGGTGATGGTGATGGTGATGGTGATGGTGATGGTGATGGTGATGGTGATGGTGATGGTGGTGATGATGATAATGATAATGATAATGATAATGATGATGATGATGATGATGATGATGATGATGATGATGATGATGATGATGATGATGATGTTGGTGATGACGGTGGTGAGGATGATGATGATGATGATGATGGTGATGGTGATGGTGATGGTGATGATGATGATGATGATGATGATGATGATGATGATGATGATGATGATGATGGTGGTGATGGTGATGGGGAGAGGGGAGAAGAGGATGAGAAGGACGTGGAAGGAGGAGTGAAGAGGAAGAGGAAAGGAGGGAGGAAGGGGAGGGGGAAGGAAGGAAGGAGACTCGCGGCGCTGCGAATTCGAAACGAGGACCCAACACACAGGAGGGTTGAGAAAAACGGAGAAGGACGGGGAAAGGTTCGCAGGGTAAGGTCAGGCGAGAACGATGAGGAAATATCAAGGAAGGAGAAGAACACATTATAACGACCAAACTGGCAACCAGAGTTATCGTTGCTTTAATTGCTTGCCTCTCTCTCTCTCGGTTCGCCCGCAGGCATGAATTGAAGGACCAAGGTGCATCGCGCGAAACGCCAATGCAATCTTGTATGAACATCGACACATGTGTATACACATGTCTACATACACGCACGTAGGCATACAAGAAGCACAGCGGAAACGATCACGAATACTAAAGCGGAAGCTAGAACTGACGCTCACCTCTTTGACTTTTTACCGCGGCCCTCGAACATCACACCAGAAATACAACTGGCACGCACATGTCCTGGGCAAGGGCAGCAGCTGGAGCAGGTGCAAGAATTCACCCCTATCACACATGCCTCGTGCCAACTCGAAGAATTGGCATGGAAGAAAACTGGTTCCCCACCACGGGAGCGGCAAGAAAAGCGCAGCGGCGAAGACTGGGTACAGTGGAAAATCTGGCCGTGAGCGCTTTGTGAAAGAAGTGCGTTCTGAACCAGGGACCGAGCCCTGTTCCGGCCCTAAGCGCCAGTTGCGCTGTCACTGGCCTCGGCGAAGTGCTCACCATCGAGGTGGGAATGCTGCGCAGGAGCAGCACTCAGCTGGCACTGCACGAGCTTGAAGTAGGCACTTCCCTTCGCGATGAGCTCGTCGTGGGGGCCCTCCTCGACCACCTTCCCGCCCTGCACGACGCAGATCTTGTGGCTGTTCTTAACGGTGCTAAGGCGATGCGCGATCAGGATCACCGTTACCTGGCCTTCCGAGATCATCGTATCGATTGCCGACTGCACCTGCCTCTCGGACTCCGCGTCCAGGGCGCTGGTGGCCTCGTCCAGTAGCAAGACCTTCGGCCTCCGCACCAGCGCCCGGGCGATGGCGATGCGCTGCTTCTGCCCCCCAGACAGCTTGACGCCCCGCTGGGATATGTCGGCGTCGTAGCCCTTTGTCATGCCAACGATGAAATCGTGGGCGTTGGCCCGCTTGGTGGCCTTGAACACGGCCTCGTCGTCCGCCTGTGACGGCTGGCCTGGGTTCTCGAGGCCGAAGAGGATGTTCTCGCGGATGGTCCGGGCGAAGAGAACGGGCTCCTGTCCGACGATGGAGACGACCCGGTGATACTCCCGGTGCTTGAAATTCCAAACGTCCTCGCCGTCGATGGTCACTCGGCCCTCGCGTGCCCGGTACAGTCGCTTCAGCAGCGCGATCACCGTGGTCTTGCCATTGCCCGAGGGCCCCACCAGGGCCACGACGTTCCCCGCGGGCACGTCCAGGGTGAGCCCCCTCAGGACGTCGGTGCCCGGCCCCTTCTCGTAGGAGAAGCGGACGTCCTCGAGCCGCACCGCGCCCCTGCCCGGGGAGTCCACGGCGCCGCCCTCGGGCGGGTCCAGCGCGAGCTCTGGCACCTGGCCGATCAGCTCGAAGACCCGCGTGGCGGCGCCGAGGGCCTGCACCATGCTGGAGTAGAAGTCCCCCAGGGTGGAGAAGGCCGAGTTCAGGGTCTGCAGGTAGAGCACGAAGGAGAGCAGCACGCTCGTGGGGTGGCCCTCCATTGCAAGCTTGCCACCGTAGAAGAGCACCAGTGCCGCCACGCCGTTCGGGAGCATCAGGGTGAGGCTCAAGTACACGATGTAGAAGGCGGCCTGCCTTCGCATCAGCTTGTAGTAGTCGCCGAGCTTGTCGCCAAAACGCTGCGATTCGAAGGGCTCCGCGGCGAAGCTCCGCACAGTGGGCATCGAAGACAGACACTCCTCTGCCACGGCGTTCGCTTCCGCCAGCGCCTTCTGCGACTCCTTGCTCAACGTCTGCATCACTTTGCCGTACTTTTTCGAGATGGCTATGATGGCTGGCACGGACACGAACGCAACCCAGGTCAGCTGGGCCGACAGGTGGAACATGAAGACCAGAGTGGTGACGATCTGTACCATGGTCCGCAAGAAGACATTCACGTTCAGCGTGACTTGGTCTGCCACCTTCTGGCAATCCTGAGTCATCCGCGACGTCAGCTCTCCGGTCTTCGAGGAATCGAAAAAGGATATGTCCTGCTTTGCGAGCGAGTCGAACAATCTCTGGCGCAGGCGCACGGAAGCGCGGCTGCCCAGAAGTATAAAGGTGGCGCCCCGGCATGCAGAGAAGACACTGCAGCAGGCTGCCGCGATCAGCAGCTTGACGACAGGGCCCTTGAACGGCCTGCTGGCCAGCGTGCCCTTCTCCCCCGCCGTGATGATCACGCTGACGGTCTCCCCTATGAAGTGCGGGATCAGCACCTCGGAGACGGCCGCGCAGATCAGCAGGACGCACGCCTGGATCACCAGGGGCCAGTCTGGCCGCACGAGCATCAAGAGCTTCCTTATCGTGGGCCGCCGCTCGGCATCCTCTTTCTCCTTCTTCCGCTGCTCCTCCTCCTCCTGCTCCGTGCGCCCGCTCGCCTGCCCACCCCGGCGCGCGGGGGCGGCACCGACCGCCTCGCCTCCCTCCACGGAGAGCAGCTCGGTGTCGAGCCTCTGCGAGCTGCCCTCGGCGCCAGCGCCGGCGGCGCGCGCGTCGCGGCGCCGCTGCAGCCAGGCGCGCAGCGGGGTCAGGGCCTCCAGGGTGCACCAGGTCTCCGCCGCCACGAGGGCCGCCGAGGCGACGCCGACGGCCCAGAACCAGGCGACGTCGCCGTCGGAGACCCTCTGCGGCTTGTCCGTCACGAGGTGGGTGAGGCCTAGTGCCGCGAGAAGGACGAAGAAGACGTACGGGAAGGACACCTCCAGGACCGTCTCGACCCGCGCCAGGACGCGCTGCAGCCGGTCGCTGCCCTGCAGCAGGGAGGTGCCCGCCAGCAGCGCGAGCCAGCCCAGCCTCGCCGCGCCCAAGAGCACGGGGCCCTGACGGAGGCCTCCCAGTTGGTGTCGGGGAAGATGGGGTCGGATGGTCGCGCCGCATCGCCGATATGCATCACCGATGCGTCGGCAATGCATCGGCGACGCCAGCGATGCACCGGCGCCGTCGGCGTGGAGAGGATCGGGCTCCACATCGAGCCCTCTCGCCGCTGCACCGGCGGGGCGGCGCCGACCCTCCGACGCCAGCTGTACCCGGACCCCCATCTGGGAGACCTGGGCCTGAGGCGTCCATCCCACGGCCTCCCGCGGGCCCCCCCGCGCCGCCAGCGCGCCAGCGACGCATACCAGGGCGTCGCACGCGGGCGCCGCGGCGGCGATGCAGAGGCCTACGCGCCCCATGGCGCTCCAGCGGCTCCTCGCGCCGAGGCACCCGCCGCGGCCGCCCGCCACCCCCCCGCGGGCGCCCGAGGGCCCGACTGTGCTCGGGCGCGTCGCGCGGGAAGGGGCGCCCTTGGGCACGAGTGGCCTCTCTGGCGCGCCGCCGCCGCCGCCGCCGCCGCCGCCGCCGCCGCCGCCGCCGCCGCCGCCGCCGCCGCCGTCGTCGTCGTCGTCGTCGTCGTCGTCGTCGTCGTCGTCGTCGTCGTCGTCGTCGTCGTCGTCGTCGTCGTCGTCGTCGTCGTCATCTTCGTCGTCGTTTTCGTCGCGTGACAGCCGCTGACTGCGACGGCCCGGGAGATCCGGGCGTTGCGCCGTTTTGCCGCCCCGGGCGTTGGCGTCCGGTTTTTTTCGGGCCGCAGGGCCATCGCAGATCGATGCGGCTCGAAACGTGTCGCAAGAAAGTGGGGTCCAGGGTGGACGGTTTCCCCTGGGGCCGCAGGCGACCCGAAGAGGGGAGGGCGAGAAGGAGGAGGAGGAGGAGGAGGAGGAGGAAACCGAGGAGGAGGAGGAGGAGGAGGAGGAGGAGGAGGACGGGTCGCCTAATCCCTTCGGAGAAACTCCAGTCCAGGGCTCCGGCCGCGATTTCCCCCGCTGTTCCGACTTTTGCGCAACGCTGGATCTCAGGGGCAGCGGCGCGCGTGCTCGGCTTTGGCCCTCCCAGCGCCCCCCGAGCGCCACGCACCAAAAGCCACTCCGGCGGAGGGCCACGCATACGTGTAGCCGATACGCCTCGTTCCCGAAGCTCTGCGCCAGCAAAAAGTTCCGTTCTCCTGGACTAGAAGTAAAAAATGCCCCCCCCATAATAACCACCCCGAAACGCGAAGTCTTTTAGCGAACGCGCCCAAAGAAGGAATCAAACAAAGCAGGGCTGCTTAATAAACGCCCAGGGCCGTTCCGTAAATACCAATTGTCAGGTCCGGGTGGTTTTTCTTCCCTTGATGGGAAGTCGATGTTTGCTTCCGCCAGCTTCCGCAGGCGAAGGCGAACTCGTTCTACTTCCGCCACCCTCTCAGGCCCGGAAGAGGTGCAGGCTCCGTCGGTTCTCAAGAACGCAACGGCCTCGTCGCGAATGTCTGCCTAGCGTAAAACTTCGATTCCCGAAGGCGAGGCCCCTCCTGGATCGCGCCATCTATACCGACACCAGTCTTGGCTGGGCCGTGCCGCTCTGGGCCGATCCTCGGCGCATGCGTGGGTCCGCCCCGTGGCGGAGTTTATCAATCCCCAACCATCCGGCGGTGCTGTGTCCTCGCTTTGAGAAGAAAAGACAGCACCCCCGCGTCCTCATTCCCACCTCCCGCTGCTCCCTCCCTTGCTCCTATACTTGCTTGTGCCATCCGCGTGTGCATTCTGGCATTCCGCGCACACGTGTCGTGGCCCCATAGGCACCATGAGGAGCTCCAACTGAGGCCCAAGTGCCATTCTCCTCTCTGGGGGGGAAGAAGCCATGACACCCGACGCCGTGAATGGCATGGCGCAGGCCCTGGGGCCACTCGACACCCGTGCAAGGCTTCTTGTCCCCGCGCGCTGTTCTGCCGTGGGCCCCCCAGTGATCGAAAATCGCCCCCCCTCCCAAAACGAACTCCCTCCCAAAACGAATCCCCTCCTAAAACGAAACGCCGGAATCGCAAAAGAACGCCCGTGCTGTTCTCGTGCTGATCTTGCTCCCGATACGCCGAAGTCCTTCGCCGAGCACGGTCCCTGGCTCCTCGGCCGACCACACGACGTGTTGTACACCTCGAGCCCCTCCCAGCCCCCTTAATTTTTCGTTCGGGCTCTGGAGGCGGCGGGGCAGCGTTGCGCGAAGAGTCAGGGTGCGTCGGCGCCCCCGCCAGCGCGGTGTGTGCGGGCTGGCAGCTCAGCGCACGAAGGTCATGGGCCTGCTCGCCTTGAAGGTGGTGCGGAGCTTTTTGGCGACCAAAGGCAGCTTCGTGATCACCGGGTACTTGAGCCCCGAGTCGTGCATCTCGGTCACGTGGTCTCTCCTGCACGCGCTCGCGGGGATCGCCGTGGCGTGGATGATCTGGATCGAGCCCGCCTGCGCGCGGTGGCGGCCGGCCATCTCCTGGTACAGCTGGCTGATCGCACCGTTGATGGTGATGTCGCGGAACTCCTTGTACATGTTGTGGGTGTCGGTGCGGCTCTCGTAGCGCAGCCACACGCCGTAGTTCTTCACCTTCGTGGGCCCGCGGTCGAAAAGCTCGTTCACCGCCAGCAGCTCGCCCCCGCTCTTCTTGGCCTTGTTCAGCTTCTTCATGAAGTACCAGAATCTGGACTTGGCCAGGACCTTGTTCTTGGCGAACATCCTCATGCGGTAGATCTTGGGCGTGGGGTTCTTCGGCGTGGGCGCGGCACGCCCGACGATCTGGTACTGGTGCATCTTCATCGCCAGCGACGGGTCCGTCGCAAACTTGCCCATCGCGCGAAAGCGTAGGTTCCTCGTGTGCCCTCCAGTGTGAATCGGGAATCCGTTGAGCCAGAGCGGCTGAAGAAAGAGGTGTGGGGAGGAAGGGCAAGGAAGACGATCGGCATGGAGAAGAGAAAGAGAGGAGGGGCGAGGAGGAAGAAGAAGGACGAAGACGACGACGGGGAGCAAGCAGGAGCTGGAGCGACCGTACCGAATGAGTTCGGGCCTACTGTGCGGCAGCGCTAGTTTTTTTTTGAATTAAAACAACCAGTTTCAAACCAGTTTTCTGAATTCAAAAACCAGCCGCCGATAGCGGCCTTCCCAGCTGCCCGGGTTGTGTACTGAGATGCGGGAGTGGTGGGAACGCTCCCTCGATCATCGGATTCGGCCTTTAGTCTGTGAAATCAGTGAAACGCCAGGACATTGAGTTAATGCAGACGGGCGCGCGGATACTCCAGCTCTGGATAGGGTTCCATCCTCAGTCCGAGGCGGGTAGTGGAGGAGGCGGGCGGGCAAGTGACAACGAGGGAGAGTGAGAAGGTGAAGCAAGCCAGGACAAGATAGGTAGTGGCTGAAATCATCACGGGTTGGGAGCTCGCATCCAAGCAGGAGCTGGAGGAGGAGCAGGAGGAGAAAGAAGAGGGAGCGGGAGGGAAAAGGGGGGTGATGGTGATGATGAGGGGGAGGGGGGACGAAGAGACGGAAGGAGGCGGAGAAGGGTGGAGTGGCTCTTCCTCGCTACTCCCACTCCTGATCAATACATCGTGATGAATAAATAAACCCTCTTCCTCATCCCACCACCGAGCGTGTTGGTAGGGCGGGCCGAGCGTTTCACCTGAGGCCTCCTCACTGCGCATGGTTTTCAAGCGTGGAAATCCAACAGCTTCGCGGATGCAGGGCTGCTCGTTTTCTGGAATGTGGCTCTCACTCTGGCTCTGCGCCCATTCGGCTGAGCAATTTTCAAATGTTCAGCGGATTGAGGGAAGGGCGCTACACATTCGTTTCAACGAGCCAAGAGAATACCCGTATGGATGGCAAACCGATTTCAAACTGTTGCTCTCGCCTGCACGCGACGCACATACTTTCCAACAACTGCACATATTGAGGGCCGTGTCTTTTGAGCATGTGGCTGCCCGTGAGACTTCAGACTGAACTCGCAGAGGTGAAGAACTTTACAACTTTCCAAGCTTGAGACATCTTCAACGGGTGGCGTTTCCTTTTCAAAACGGAACTATCGCTGGACACTTCCTTGAACTTTCTGCTCCTACCTCTAGGTGCTCTTCTCCTCCTCCTCCTCCTCCTCCTCCTTCTCCTCGTCCTCTTCCTCCTCCCGACCAAGGTCCGCTCAAAATCGGTCCACGGTCAAGTTTTCACCCTGGATCGATTTCTGAAGGTCCCGATGCCCGAAACTGGCGTACAATACCAAAATATAGAAAAATCTCCCGTGGCCTAGTCTTCCAGCTCTCGCCGTCATCGCCGTCATCGCCGTCGTCATCGTCGTCGTCGCCGTCGCTGTCGCCGTCGCCGTCGCTATCGCCGTCACCATCGCCGTCGCCGCCACCACCGCGGTCGATGTCGCCGTCGCCGTCGTCGCCGTCGTCGTCGTCCTCGTCGTTGTCCTCGTCTTCGTCGTCGTCCTCGTCGCCGTCCTCCTCCTCCTACTCCTCCTCCTACTCCTCCTCCTCCTCCTCCTCCTGCTCCTACTCCTCCGCACGAGTAACCCGAAGACCATCGGCCGCGGCCCGAAGACGAGGTTTCCCCCCAACATCATCCGTCCCTTTCTTTCTCGAAACCTGGGTCACACGTCGGACGGCCGGCTGCCCATTTCAAGCGCGAGCTTCCTCACAGCCTCGACTGCTTCATCTAGAGCAATCGTGAGCAATCGATCCCCTCGCTCTCCTACCCGTAGGTCGGGCATGTCCTCCTGCAGGCGGAAGTTGGAATACAAATAAGACATAGCCAAAACACAACCAACACTAATCAAAAATAGTCGAAGCATCGTCCCCAGACCATTTTTTTACTATTTTTGAAGATGCCTCCTGAGAGGGACATGCCCGGCTTAATCCTATAAAGCCCCGCATATGGGGTCGGAATACGTGGGGTCGGAGGGTCGCGCCGAATCGCCGATACATCGGCGATGCATCGGCGATGTATCGGCGATGCTCCAGCGATGCATCGTCGACGTCGGCGATGCATCGGCGACGTCGACGTGAAGCAAATCGGGTTCCACATCGAACCGCATCGGCGATGCATCGGCGATGCGGCGCGATCCTCCGACCCCATGTACTCGGACCCCATTTAGGAGGCCTAGATCCTACAATTCTTGGCGGCGCGCACAAGGGGGTGGAGGTAGGGAGGAAGGCTTCTTCGAAGGAGGCTGCTTCTCAGAAGGCGTCGGCCTCACATCCACAGATAAGGCCAGTGCCTTCTAAGAAGCAGGGGTGCTTCTAAGAAGCCCTCTCCCCTCCCCCCACCCCCCTCTGCGCGTGGCTGGAAAACACTTCATTCTCCTGGAAGGTCGATTTTTGCTCCCGCCAGCTTCCGCACACGGAGGCGGGCTCGTTCTACTTTTGCCACCCTCGCCGGCCGGAAAGAGATGCAGGCTCCGTCGGCTCTCAAGAACGCAACGGCCTCGTCGCTCATGTTTGCCTAACGTAAAACCTCGATTCCCGAAGGCGAGGCCCCCTCTGCGCGTGGCTGACCCTGAGATCAAACATTGCGAGAAGATTGCAGCATTACAAAAAATCACACCCGGACCCCCGAACCCCATCTTCCTGCGTCGTTTCTCAGGCCAGATCGATCTGTGAGGGTCCTGGGGCCCGAAATAGAGCGAAAACGCCCGTTGCGAAAAAATGGCAATGCCAGGATCTCAGGGTTCCCCTTCGGGGAGGGTGTTGCCCCTCCCCCTTACCCCCTCCCTTGGACCTGGACGGGGCCGGTGGCGAGGTGTCAGGGCGAGGAAACCCAAATCACTGGTTTTACAAACAAGGTTTTGGTCGTATTTTTGCCTCTTGGGGTTTGTGGTTCGCAAGCGCACGGTGCGAGTCGGACGCCGGGCAAGCCGGGGCAGGCTGTGCCACCTGCGAAGGGACAAAGCAGAGCCGCGAGCAACGCCAGGGCGAGGCGGAACTCAGCGCGGCCAAAGTGGCGCGAAGAGGCGGAGCGGCATCAGGAACACGAGGTAGGTGCCGAGCAGGAAGCCGAGCAAGCAAACCTGGAATCGACGCCTCTTGGGGTTAAGCGAAGCGTCCAGAATCAAGCAACACTCCCCCCAGCCCCCGCCACCCAGAGCTGGCACGTGCCTTGAAACACCCCCTGGAGGCCCAAGATCGGAAGAGCCGAAGCCAACACTGCACGGGGGGGGAATTCAAACAACATGTTCTGCAAGAGATTTTGTTGTTGCTGTTGTTTTTCTTATTGTGTCCGACACCTGGATGGCAACGAAGACAACGACCACGAGCAAGCGACGATCGAGAGGCTCGACCCCTGGAGGCCTCCCGGTGCCTCGGGAGACCCCATGGAGGCCTCCCGGAGGGCCCCGGCGGACTGCGGAGGCCCGAGGAGGACCGAGGCCGCTCAGAGCCGCTGGCCCTGGGAACTCGAGCTTCGGGCGGCGGCGGCGACGACGACGGCGGCGACGATGTAATCAACGACGGCGACGGCGAAGTAGGAGCCAAATCCCGCTCAGAATCCGTCCCCGCAGCCTTGGCAGGGTCCACCCTGGCCCGCTTCCCAGCCCTGGGTCGACTTGCGAGATCCCCGGACGGAGGCCGAAGACGATGGAAGAAGCACGTGCAGAGGCGGCGTCGACGGCGGCAGCGACCGCGGAGGCGGCGTTGACGCTGCTGAAAGAACTCGCTTTTGCACCGCTTGGGCCGGACTGGAAGCTGAACTGTGCTGCTGCTCCCCCTTGCCCCCGAGTCTAACGGTGGAAGTCGCCGTGCCGCCTGGGGGCTATCGGAGAGAGGCATGTCGAATTCCATTGCGCGCGTTTGATGTCTCAACGGTAAGATTTGGGGCGAGGGGAGCACATCGCACGGTGTTCTGGCGCCCAAGCGGTGCAAGCATTTGCCCTTCAACCGCAGCGACGGCGACGGCGGCGACGTCGGTGTTGACGGCGGCGGAAGTGGCTGCGGCGGCGACGACGGCGATGGCGACGGCGACGGCGACGGCGACGGCGACGGCGACGGCGACGACGACGACGGCGACGACGACGACGGCGATGACGGAACGGCGATGACGATGACGACGACAATGACGACGACGAAAGCGACGACGACGATGACGGCGACGGCGACCACGGTGGTGGCGGCGACGGCGACAGCGACGGCGACGGCGACGGCGACGGCGACGGCGACGACGACGACGACGACGACGACGACGACGACGGCGACGGCGACGGCGACGGCAACGTCGACGACGGCGACGGCGATAACGACGAGGGCGGGAAGCCGCGGCCACACGCCAGCGTACCCCCGGGGAAGAGGTGCCCTCTGCTTCGCCGCTCTTCTGGGGCCGCGGGGGGACCGAGCACGAGCGCGCAAGACTCGCATCTCAGAGGCGACGATAAGGGCGAATAGCCCAGGGGAGAGCAATACACGTATTCGGGTGCGCCGATGATCTGTGTCTTCGAAGAGGCTCCCGGGCGAATGCGTGTAATGCCCGCCCCTGGGCTTTTCGCCCTTTCGTCGCCGCCGAGCATTCGGCGATCGCGGGGGGGGCCCCGCTGGGCCCGCACCGAAGGTCACTCCAGCAAAGGGTTACTCCTGCGTCTAGTCGAGGGCCGAGCACGGCCCGGAGAGCTGGCCCGGATGGCCCCTCCCTTTGTCCGCGGGCCCAAGCCGCCGACGTTTCTTGCTCAAGGCAAGAGACGTCGGCTTGGGCCGATGGGACAGATGGGGGTGCTGGCCCTCCGCCCCCTCGTCGTCGTCTTCTTCCTCCTCCCCCTCGTCCTCGCCGCCCTCGCCGCCCTCGTCGTCGCTGTCCGCCTGGCCCCCATGGCCCCAGACATA